GACTTGTATCAATTCATTGCCAGAAATACTATTTGAAGGCAAGTAATTCATTGTATGATAATTATGTGGGCCTTGAAATACGAGCTCAAACTGGACACTAATTTATCATTTCTAATAACAGTATACGCTATGATTTGTTTTTGAAATTATATGTTTTAGTCTTTCAACAAACTTAATAATAATAATAATTGTTTAAATTCTTTAAATTACTTATAATATTATAAATAGAATCTAATTTACAATAACTTATTGTAAGACAAGAATAAAACATGAAATATATTCCTCACTCATTGATAACATTAATTAAATTTTTAAAATATTCATTTAATAGTAATGTTTGCAATATTAATCATTAATAACGGTTTTTACAAAGGATTTTGCAAATAATATTAATTTTTCAAAAATTTATTTTTATTTTTGAGCAATTTTTATGAATTATTTTTATATGAAATTTGAATAAAATATATTATGAAAAAAACATTTTGTAAAATATTTAATTATAAAAATATATAGTCTTATATAACTATACGGTATAATAATGTTACTTTATAATATATAAACTTTATATATAATATCAAGATTTATATAATATCTGATAATTGTATATAACATTGAAATATAATGACTAAAATTGATAGACAGATAAAAATAATATATATTTCATAAAATTAATTGAGATTTAATGTGAGATTCAAAGGACAGCAGATAAATGAATATCTGTTATCCGATTCGGAGAAATAAAAAACAAAAACAACAAAATAAAAGATTGATTTCACGAAATACTTCACTACAGGTGTGCTTTCAACTGATGGCCGTGTGCTCCGGGTTGTAGTAATCCATGGACTCCGTGAAGATATACGTGAGTGGATTGACATCGTGTTGATGATGGGGTGTCCAGTCGTTTGGCTGATGATCGCTATAGTTGTATGAATTGCACGACTCGTTCGATGAAGAGGTGGACGGAGAGGACAGTGTCGATGATGTCGACGTCAGATCCCTATCGGACTCCAGTTTGATGTGCGGATCGGCGCTCAGCGATGAGAGCTCTATGGATGACAAGTCCAGACCCGGCGGGCCGTTGGGGTTAAGTCCGCTCTCCTCTGGCGAGGATTGCATTAAATCCTTTTCGCGTCGTTTTCGGGTCCGAATCACATCTCTTCTCATAGACACCGGTCTATAGGAAAAGGGATTATAATTTATAACTAATTTAATTTACTATTCAATACATTATGGCCTCATATATGGTTTGGGAGGAAGTGTTTAACGCATTAATTGATTGATTTGACTTAAATTGACTCTAAATGTCACTAAACTTTTTGAATTTCTCCACTTTTTAATCATTAAAATTGTAATAAAAGGCTGTTTTAAATAATTTTATGTTTAAATGAATATAAAATCGGCTCAAAATCATCACTCAATGTAAAACTGTTAATGAATTAATAAAAACTTTTGAATAATGTATTAAAAACTTCTTTCTCTACATTTCTCCACACGAAAGAAATGATTGATTTCTTTTGTATAGAAAAAATTTAATAGTAAATTGAATACAAAAATGTATTAATTTATAAAATAAATATGTGATCAACTATTTCTATACCAAAATTAATGAACCGAAAACGTCGAAAACGAAATGTATGTAAAAAATAAAAATTTATGTAAATATATAACAAAAATGAAAAGACAATTATTTACAAATCTGTCATTCTTTGTGTGACAGTCAGACAAAACACAAAATAACGTTAATTCATAACAGAATTACACTTTCGGGCGCTTAAAGTGTAAAATATATGTTAGGAATAAAACAAACATAAATAGCAAACAAACCAAAGAAACAAATAACAAAAAGTTGTGACTAAAAGTCTTTTAAACAAAGTGTGAAAAATAGATGAGATAATAATGAATGGATTACCGGTTGAAGCCATTGATGCGAAAGAAGAGACCGCAAGCATTGCAGACGTGAACGCCTCCCGCATCCCTCCTCCACATCGTTGTCTTATTTGTGCCA